TGTGTGTGTGTGTGTGTAACCGAGGCAACTTACGCAAAGTGACGACAGGTGCATAGCCTCTATTAATACCACAGAGGATATCAGCAAAAATATTCAGTTTCACATTAGTATTAAAGTCTTAATTTGTGCTGCATGTGGTGGTAGTTTAACAGCCCGTCCTTAATGCTCTTGCACAAACAGTATAGGTTCAGTATACAGCACTCAACTCAGAGGGATTGAATATATTTAACAAGGGACAAGTAACTTGATCCAGTGCCAAAACTCTACATTTATACATTCGGAAACTGTAAGGATAAAAACAACAACCCACAAATAAGCCATGTGTATTAACATCTTGACCGCTGGTTTTGGGAATGTGTGTACGCGAGTGCCCAACACTACAGGGAGCCAATGCAATGCAAGGGTCATGTGTTGTTTTGAGCCAACAGAGATATCAAGCCTATTACACGGTTTACCCAGATAAAATGCTGTGATTGAGCTCACAGGCAGAGCCATGGAGCACTGAGTCAATACGTGTTGTTACAAGATCACTACAGCTTGTCCATGAAAGGCTCGGGTTGAACATTTATTCCTATTTTTTTTCCTCTCACATGCACACAACTGTATAACAACTATCAATCTTGAAGGCATGCCACGTGCCCTTACACCCCACACTCTACTACAAGTTATCTGGCATTCAACTGTACAACAAATCCTGTGTGGATCAAGTTATATAACGTGAATAGGGAAATGACAGGCAGTTACCCTTCAATGTACATGGATACAACACTCCTTAGCTTCCAGTTACAGAATCACGTATAACAATTTTGGCAAGCAATCAGTGGATTTAACTGTTTCTTTTGTATTCCTGTGGCATCCATAAGGAGTCGGTTGCCTTCACTGTGTCTGACGGTCAAAGTACAAACACAAAAACAGAAGGACATGTCGTAGCGTATGGGTGGCCGATTCAGCTGGGGAAATGATAAGCTATGGTCTTTTTCCATACACACGTTCTGGCTTGGCTCACCTCGGTTTGACTCCGTGCACGGGCCCAGCACTTGTCCGACTCTATCAGTTGATCCTGAATGACATTTGATACTCCTCTGTGCTCTCTATTATTGGTTCTCTGTCTCCAATAGGTGTAGGGAATATCTACAGGACACAAGAATAAACAATGCAGTCATTCACTTGATATTCACATTTCAGGTCTGCTACAAAATCTACACTGCAACCCCATTTAAAGCCCCGCAGTGGTAGAAATTGGACTTTTATGACTGTACAACTTTATGGCTGTACAACTTTAATAAACACTGCCATCTTTTTTTTTTTTCCACAGAAACTTTAATCTAATTTGATGTGTGTAATACTAATTTCTATTTTGGTTATTTGGATATTTTCGGTGGCAGTGGTTCCGTGAAAGCAGCACATCTCGCTCTCAGCTGAAACAGCAGCACCCCTCCTCCTCCTCCTCCTCCTCCTCCTCCCCTTCCTCCCCCCTATTATGTAACACTCAACTTTGAGTCCAGCCCTCCCTAACACACACTTCCTCTCACACTAGCCAAAAAACACACAGGGTTAGCTAATCAAAGTGGTCGAAATACAAACGGCATAAAGCGTAGTCAGCCATGTGAAAGACCAAAAAGTCATGAGTGAGAGCTTGAACAGGAAGCACACAGCTGTAGCAATATCACGTCTTTACCAAGCAAATGCATGTATGAGCTCCATCTACAGTGGAAAACTTACCTCCAAAAGCCAATTATTTCCAATAATGGTCGTTTCCCCCCTTAAGCTCAGTTTTAGGGCGCCGATAAACGCTCACCCTAACCAGCAGTCCCATTTATAATTGTTATTTTTAATTATTTTTCTCCTGTCAAGTATGCCGTGTGATAAGACTACAGAGAAAACGGGTTGAGAGTCTGTCGAGTCAGTCACAATAAGCAACATCATATCCGGGTGGTTCCAAAATAAAATGCAGTTAAAAGACAAAACGGAGGTTTTATAAATAACACTAAGTGGTGCGACAACATTCAGTGCGATTCCGACTCATCGTTGTTATTTTACATCCCCCAGGCAGCACTTACCTAAGTGTTAATCCAACAAGAGCAACTTCCAGGCTTTTGTTTTGAAATTCCGGTGGCTAATTGTAGCTAGCTTGATGCCGCAGTTCGAGGTGGCGACAAAATGTTTCAAAAAGTAAACCTAAAACAAATAATACCGAAACTTTGTCATTCAACCCTGCATCCAAAAACGATACAGACAAATAGTCCACCGATGGCACAATTCAACACGGGGGTAATAATGAGTTTTGTGCGTTACCTTAATTGAACCCACAGTCGGCTGTTACCAACTACCAGACACAATGCAACGAGCTCTCTCCGAGAGCTACGAGCGCATTGGCCCGTGAGACAACTACGACAGCCAATCAGAGATTAGTGCAAGTGCATCAGCGGGACAGTGATAGAGGAACAAACAAAGAGGGTCACTGGCAGACTTACTGTAAGGTAAAGGTCTCATTTAGGGTTAAATGTTCACGGGCCGAGAAAGATTGGCTCAGCAGAAAATTACAGCCGGTTGAGATATACACAAGAACTTTAATTGCAGTCGCCAGTCATGAGTTTGATTTCCACCAGTAGCTGATTTGCATACATGAAGCTGTGGCAAACCTACTGCTGCTGCTTGCAAACAGATACTGTAATATGCCTGGTGTGCAAAATGCCCAGTTTCCTTACATTTACTGAAGAGAAATACTCTTGATATAAAAGATATGCTGTAGCAGCGGTCCCACATTCTCAATAGGGACTCCTGTGAGCTAGTAAGCTTTGTCAGCATCATACTGTCAATGGTCAGCATGCCTGCACATGACGAGTGGCCAACAAGGCAGCCTCGCAGTCACAAGGCGGCTCTGCTGTGTTGTGTTGTGACAGCCTGCTGGACAAAATTACATAATTTTGCATAGAATTACATAATTTTGCATAAAATAAAAACAGCTGAAACTAATTATTGCAGCAGACACTTTATTTTTACATTAAAACTTTAGAAATAACTTGACATCCTCTTCACAAATGACAAGACAAGGACACATCAATACAATTCAAATATTTTCTAAGTTGGCTGCAAGATAAGATCATAAAACAGGTATGCCACTGAGTTGGCTAAATCACAAACATTCAAAATGCATGCAATTCTTTATCAAACAATGTTCAGCATCAAATCTTTCACACTCCTTCCTCACCATTTCCGTGACAACTCCTCAGGATCCATAGCAAATAATATACAGCCTTACAGGAGTACAGTCCTCGAGCGATGTCGCTCTAGTATCTCTACATTGAAGCTTCGGGATATAATTGAGTTCCTGGGAGTTGGGAATGTCATGTGCATATGCCCAGCAGAGCAGAGGCGTTCTTTAGACCTGGGTGTCTGCTGACATGCATGGTCTCTGGGGAGGAGAATTTAATAAAACTGGCACAGGTGTCTCGGGTGTGGGCCTTGGCTGCCGCAGTGGCCAGAATGTGCATGATCCTCAGCAAGTCGGTCTCACTGAAAAACACAAAGCGTGCAAATGTAAACCTTCCAGGCAGGATGGATGCTGGTTAATAATACAAAATACTAAAAAAAAAAAATAAAAAAAAAAATATAAAACACTTGGAATATAAAGTTTTGCATCTGAAGTTCAGACAGTGCTGGTGACGGCAGGGTAAAGGCTTTCAAAAAAAAAAGGCACTGCGGACATCTTATAAGTGAAGATACACACCTGCCCACATGAATGCTGGAGGCCAGACACCAGGCAGCCTCCCCTTCTGGTGTCAGGGGCTCCTGCAGAACTTGGCGGGACAAGCAGAGGGCCGCTCCTGCCAGCTGCACGGGCAGAAACACCACACACTGGCCCTCCAGCAGAGACAGCTCCAGAAGATAACGCGCCATCCACACCACCTGAAAGGCACAGACGATACTTCAGATCTCTACACACTGACAGATAAACTCAGTGATCTTCGGAGGATGCACAAACACACAATGCAGATCTACCTTAGAGCTGCAGCGAGCAACAGAGGCAAGGAGGACGAGGAAATGCAGAGGGGGACAGTAGGACAAGTCAAACTTGAGTGTACAGAGGACTTTACGCTCCATTCGTAGCAGCTGATGTTTAGTGTAAGTGTGGTCCATCAAGTAGCAGAGTCCAGACACCTGGAAGAAAAAAGTTATCAAATATTAATCAATTGACATTACTCTACTCAGTTAGCAATCAAGCAACTTTAACACACTGTAGCTTTATAGTTTGGGGGGGCTGAGCCCACGTACCTCAGGGAGAAGACATTCTTCCTTCTTTGCAGCGAGGAAGAGGCAGACCATGCCGAGGAGCTGCAGGTTGGCGGTGGCTACCTTGATCTGACGCAGGGAGCGGTTGAGGAGGTGTACGGCCAGGTAGAGGGTCTCTGCCTGAAAATGCATGATCTCCTGGAAGGAAATAAACAGGGCATTAAAGATTGAATTTTATTCACAAAAAAAAAGAGTTAAGTTTAAAGCATTCGTTTGAGATTTTGGGAAATGAGGTCATTTGCTTTCTTGCAGGGAGTTCGATAAGATTGATACAGTACAAAAAAAGAGCTACAGAGAGAGTGTTATCTTAGTTAATCTTATTTGGTAGCATGGTAGATGAAGAAATACATCCTTGAGCTTTGAAGGCTGTTTTGTTACCTTTGGAAGAGCCATTTCTCCTCGTTTCCAGTCTTTATGCTAAGCTACACTAAGCAGCTGCAGGTTGTTGCTACAGTTTGTCAGCATTTGACAGGTTCTTCTCAACAAGCATGACCTTAAAATAATCTGAATATTTAAGACATTTATAAAATGTTATAGTTTGACAAGCTCTGTTTTGAGGGATAAGAAACCCTCCACCTAAGACTTACATGAACTTGAATGAGCCAGTCCATCAGGATAGCACGAGTGGCATCAGTGAAATGTCGGGGCAGGTCAGCGTTGGGAAAAGAGTTTTGTGTCTGAGTCCTCTGCAGGGTGAAACCAGAAAATATTGAAACACATGGTGTGCTGTGTGTGCCAAGCCTCTAGGTTACCCCTCTTGTATACAATTAGTGATGGGCTCTGCATACAGCACATTTTAGTGATAATGTGCCTTCCTTTAGAAACATTAGATAACACATGAAGCGGTTTAGCAATCCCTGTTTTTTGATGTCTCACCATCATATCCAAGAACATGTCCCAGGCAAATGTCCGGTCCCATATGAGGTCCAGCTTCTCCAGGGCCATCTCCACTTCATGGCGCAGCAAGCTGGGCACCAGTGCCTGTAGGCTGTGAAGACCCTGCAGCCCGAGAGGGTGAAGCAGCACAGGCTCCTCTATATGCCCATCTGCTACACAAGATCAAAGGTGGATTGTTCGTGCTGCACTGGGTGTCAATTGTGTCAGTGACGGTGTATTGGTCTGAAAAGAAGTCTGAAAACTACCAGCGGAGCATGTTCGACTATCTTCATGGAACCCCATGATAATGTCTTCACTTGTCTGCGTCGATAACCTCCTCTCCTGAAAACACAATGCCATGCACATGCAAGTGGGATTGATCATATACAGAAAACAGCTGGGAAAAGAAGTCCCAACATGAGCCAAGATGAGACACTACAGCATATTGTTGGGTGAAGATGGCAAGGAGGAAAGAGAAGGCTTACCCATCTGCATTCTGTCTCCATTTTGACAGGGGCCATCCTGGACTCGTCTACTTCTACAGGCTGCCAGCGATCTATAGGCCCACAGGCATTAGCCCACGTTCTTAATGGGGCTCGCCTCTCATCCGCCTGGAGGGGCAACAAAAAGTCTTTGCACAGATACTGATGTGATCGTGGCGTACACAATTTTTTATTATTACAGCTGAGGCCAATAAGTTGAATGTGTTTGATAGTGAGTGTAGGTGGCTGCAGTTCATTTTCTGCCACGAAACAAACGTAAAGAAGAGTGATTCAGTTCTGGTCTCAAGGTCCTACTCCAGCAGTCTAATCAGGGACTCCTCCACACCTGGGGCCATGGCAGGTGAACGCAATAACTTGAGATCAAGGTTTAATCAGTGAGTTCTCTTTTGTTAATTTAATTTTAACAGATTCATCAATAAATACTATCTACTATATCTACCATCAGTTGTTTAGAAAGGAAGTGAACGGGGCTTTAAGGAAAAAGGGAAAAGTTTAAAAATAACATGTTGCACAGGTGAGTTTAAGCACCTGGAAACTGGAACAGGAGCAGATGCTCACCTTCTTGTGTAAGTCCAGCAGGGGCTTGGAGTCGCAGAAACCAGTCCTGGCCATTATCACAGCCGGAGACAGAGTTCCCGTGTCGGCCGCTGCAGCTACTTATCCACGGGTATCGGCGGAGGCCTGGGTCAGGGAGAGCAGCCATACTGCCCGGACAGCGGCTGATAAAGCCCGGTGGCCCCGCTGATTGGGGTGGGGACACCGGTGCCCGGGGAGACAGGAGGGGGTTTGGACTTCCGGTCGATGTTTGAAAAAAAGAAACCGCGTTTTGCTCAAGGTTTTTGTTCCCAGCGGTGAAATGTTGTCTAAAATAATTTTTGATAAAAATATATACATTGTTATTGCCCAGCAGAGCATTTATTAAAACGTATAAAAGATGGTATGGGTCCAAAACACCGCTTTTGTTCATGTCCCTCGAATGTAGTGTGAGATATTGAGATATGTTAAATGATTACATTATGACATTATTTCTAATGAAATGGTTTCACATCAATATTACTTCACACCATAGAATTATTATGTTTTGTTTACTCATCATTTCTATGATTTCCCCCCCTCACTTCTCTACACTGAACCATATGCCATAGTGCCAAAGTATTGTTCACATCCAAACAAATCTAGATCTGTGGAAACATAAGTTAGCAAGTGAGACCTCCTAATTAAATTATCAGCTCCCTAATTATGTGTCATAATATGAGAGCTGTACAGAGGGTTTTCTAAATACTGAGGTCAAGAAGCTACCCCACCCACCTTAGCAGCTTCCACTAAAAAAGGTTTCTGGCTTAATACTGTCCAATCTGTTTTCACTCTATAATAATAATATCACAATTAGGCTTTGATAAGCTCGTGTGAAATGTATATGACATTATGGGATCCAAATTCCTTGTCACAACATTGAAGCTCTCTAATTTCCTGAAACAATATTGGGCACTGGGAACTTCAATGGCAGCTATGGCCCAGGTCATAATACATCCAACCCTTCTTTACTTTAAGCTTTACAACAGATTGCAGAGCTGTGGCTGTGGGTTGCACAAGACTTTACATGTGTACACTGTAAAAAATAGCATAGAAAAGAGACACAGACAGCTTTATTCAGTAAAAACGTTTACTGGCACATTATAGTTGCAAATGTTATAAGCTACCATATTGTATCAGGTATCACCCGTTACATTGTAAAGTCTTGCAAGGGGGGGCTGAAACTGTCTACCAGGACAAAGTCCTCCCCTATAAGATTGCTTTTTTCATTGCCCTCTGAGCCTCAACTAACAGCAACAAGCAAAAAAAAAAAAGTCTTGTTACACCAGCATCAGGTGTGACATTCGTGACTGTTGATCACATTCAAATATACAGAGAAGCAAGGTAACCATAGTAAAGCTGCAAATCAAATACTACAAAGCTGCAGGCCTCCCCTTCTACTAATGCTGCATTCACCATCAAGCTTTCTTTTTTTTTGGTATTTACACAATAGTGAAGAGGCACTTGTTGTGCCTGTGTATGCCTACAGGAGAGGTCAGGGGTCTTAACTTGCATGTTTAGCCGTGAAGCATTGCTTAAAGCGTGGCCAGCAGCGAGGTTCAGAGTATGGCTTCACAACCAATATTAAAAAAGTTCAGCAGCACCCCCTTATGGCCATGATAGCAATGAAGGCAAATCCACAGTGGAGTCCATCAGTGCAGTGGTTCTGATATCCGATCCTGCTGTTTCCAAAGCAGGACACTAGGCTAGAGTATGATGGCTGTGCCTGAGCCAGTGAGAAGAGGTGCTGGAGTTGTGAACTGTAAATCAAAGCCATTTGATCACATTATCATCTGCAGGAACTGGGGCCACCTGCTGCCCAGCAGTGGGAGTCAAAAAACTGCTGCCTTTCTGTGTCCTTAACACCACTTTCACTCAAACGTCTCACTGTCACCCTCTGTCGCTCGGTCACTCACACAAACTTAAATAAAAAGAAATTAATATGTGACATGAGGGGAGAATGCTGATGGATTATGTGTTTGCAAAACCTTTAAACCTCGTTGTAGAATCAGTGCTCTGCGGACCTTGGTAGAAAAGAGTATTAAATTGTCAATTACATTATTCTCAACACTGTGGAATAAATGAAAGGGTGGGTTCTATCTACTTGTTTCATGGATTGAATGTAAAATAGGTTTTTTTTAAGTGAGTACCACTTTAAAATGTTTTCAGCAAAATTTAGGCAGGTTCATTTAAGTGCTTAGGGACTATTTTCTATATAATTTCAAAAAGACAGATGAAACTGATGGTAATATCTCTTTATAATACTTTCCTTACATATGCTTACTTATGCAAATTATTAACAGTGAATTAAGTTCAGCCAAAGGGACATGATAATGCAAACCAGAAACATACTGATACATGTAAGAAAAGTAAGAAATCCCAAATGAAAACCCCTTGAAATGAAGAACTTAATCAAAAAGAAAGTTTAAAAACTTTTAATATATATATTTTATATAATGTATACTTAAACAGACAATGTGTCTTCCAAAATCTGAGAAATAGATGGACAAAAAAAGGAGGATAATCAACAAACAAAAACAAAACAATGACAAACAAAAAAAAAGGTCTTGATGTTCCTTTAGTGAAGCTGAAAGAGCTAACAACTTCTCTTCCAGCAACATGGAATATAAAATGCTTGTGTCATATGAGCACCTTTCAGTATGCTGTCCAGAACCTCTTTCAATCATGTGCCGTGATAACTCAAAGTATGCAGATTTACATTTCAACTAACAACACATCAGCTAATGTTTTGATTGATTCTCCCTGTTTGCAGGGTGAAGGTTGGTCGACCAGCTCATGCAGCATTTAGTTGGATTGTAAACCTGCAGACTGTTGCTCCAGACATACAACTACGTAGATTTAAGTGCCTCGACACAGCGTTAAAGAAAACACAAACAAAAGGTTCTAAACATCATTTGTGGAATCATTTGAAGTGTTAAACGTCCACCAGGTCAGTCAATTTTTGGCCTCATTATAAAAGACATAACAACGATTGAGCTATCATTCTTTAAATACGGGAACACTCAAAGGCTTATCTTTAAAAATATTTCTTAAACTTACACTATTATTACAAATGGAAAATGAAACAAAATATTGGTGCCTAACTCTTCAGCTAGGGAGTGAGAATTACTGGATCGAGGTCAGCGAATGGCTGTGTCCGTCTACATTGGTCTCTATAGTCAGGCTGGGGAATAACTGTGGTCAAGCGTCTAGTCTCTATTCTCCTCCTTCCTTCTATTCTTTCGGTCTTAACACGTAACGCAACTGGCCTTAATGAAAACTTACTCTTACACCTCCAACCAGCAGCTAGTTGGTCGACAAGTCAGTCGGGACACAGCGACATGGACTCTGGGAGCCTGACTGCTGCATCGTTCTGAGTTAAATTAATGCAGCTCTTAAAGCGAAAGTTTAGCCATGCAAGCAATCCCTGTTTCTATTCCTGACTGAGTCAATTTAGCGGCAAGCTGGTCACAGCAATCATAAATGACATGCTTGTTCCCTTTTAGAAAAGGCCATCGAGTGCGCCGTGTAGTGTCCTCTCCTCTCGGTATTCCAGCAATGGTTCGGAGTTTAAAACATGCATAAAAACAGACACGAATGGATGGTTGAGAATCAAAATGGTTGTTCACACATTCTCCTGCACTCGTATGCACACTCGCATACATTCACACATGGTCCAGTCGCCCATTCGCTTATACACACGTGCAGTGCAAACACAGAATTGCCACCCCTCGTCCCCTCCCCTCCCCCCCCCTTTTCCCCATTTCCCCTTACTGTAGGAACGGTCCCACACTTGATTTGTAACAGCAAGTTCCAGAAAGAGCACTTGTTAAAAAAAATGAAAAAAATAAATCACAAAAAAAATGCAGAAATATGGCTTTACATTTAAAACCGTAACAATCGATGAAATAAAAATTTGTCTTTTTCCCCAAATCTTTTCCATTTTCCTAATTTTGCCTATTCTTTTTTAAAATTCTATCAAGTTCGTTTGTGTGTATATATATGTAGTCTATGCATGGGTTGGTGTGTGTGAGTGTGAGAGTGTGTGTGTGTGTGTGTGTGGAGCATGGGTACAGCTGGTAAAGAGGTGGTACTTGCTGGCATAACCTGGTTTTCAAAGTGTCAAGGCTTTGATGTGGTACCCAGTGTAGTGCAGCAGAGGTCCTGCAGGGAAGCCTAAAGCCAACCCTGAGAGTACGTACAGAGACAAAGCTGCCAGTCTATCCACACAAACCTGCTGAGGTCAGTCATTCACGGCCTGTGTTTTCATTTCATACTCTATGATCCCTGTCTTGTCTGATTTGCCAGTAAATGTGTGTGTGCGTGTCAGTGAGTGTACGTGCGTTAAAGACCGAATGAAAATGTGTCTTGTGCCGGTTTTTGTTTGTGTCGTTCCAATTCCCCAGCAGTGCAAGTGTGTATGTGGGATTGTGATCGTGTGTAAGCCTGCCTGCTTGTTCAAGAGTCTAAGTGATCATTCCCGTATGCTGGCGGAGTAGGAGAACTGAGGGAAGTGCGTACGCTGATCTGAATCCTCTGCATCTAAACTGTCATCTGGAGTATGCAGAAAGGGAGGGAGAGAGAGAGAGAAATAAAAATAAAATAAGAAATACAGCCACCAGTTCAAAAGAGATAGTAAATGTGTCTTAACATGTATAAATCCAAATCTTGAAGCACAAATGACTGATGTTGATCTACTTACATTTGTCAGGGGGAGTTATTGTTATGGTTTGTGCTGTGAACTCGTCATCAAAGTAACGTGTGTCCGTCTCTGATGTGACCTGGGGCTTGAAGGGTGGAATGAGCTGAGGAAAAGCAGAATATGAGTCATTTTACATTCTGGACATCTTATTTTAAATGTCACATCATTTGTTTTTTTCCTCCCAGCACCACACCTTTTTTTCAATAACATCCTGCCAGTTGATGGAGGTGAAGAACTTGTGGCTCATCACATCTTTGGCATCGTCTGGTCCGCCTCCGAGCCTGTAAACAAAACAAAAACACTATCATCATCACCCACTCAGCAGCCACCTTTTCTTTATGCAGATAATTGTGCAAACACTGTCATTAGAAATGTACAAACAAGCACTTAAGGTTGTGTTGTTCCCTTCTGACTTGGATTTACCAATTTCTCAACAAATTTATTCTTCATTTCCTTACTGCTTACAGGTGCATGTGTTAGTAAGGCTCCAGGCGGTGCTCAATGTGCTAATATTAGCAGTTCTTCGACTGTTCCCAGAAACACAAGGGCTCGACCAAAACAACAATCAATTATTTCCTTGTTTATGGCCATTACCCTGCACCAAAACTAATCAAGAAGGAACAAGAGCTTAATAATGTGGTTACTTATTTTATAGCTGAATATGTGGTGGCCCCGAGCACAGTGGACGGGTGTGAAGAAAATGTTCTTCTCAAGCTATACAGCTGCATCTTCGGGAGCCAGTTGTTCTGCCAAACAGCCGTGTTTTCACAGTATAGAAATAGTATGCATTTCTTTTATCTTAAATTAATAGTGTGTGGTTGAATATTATAATACATATTTAGTTTTTTAGTTTTTTATGTTACTGTGTTTGCAATAAAAACATTTCAATGAAAGTGTATAAATGTAAAAAATCAGTTGCCAATTCGCCAATGAGAAATGGAGCCTGACTCATACGTCAGTATGGCCAATCGATATAGAACACCGACAACTTTTATTATTATTTAACGTAAAATGTCCCATCCAGTACATTTTCTTGGTCACATTCATAATAAGGATCCTTATTTAAAAATATTTATGCTATGTTTATATAGTTTGATGCTTTTTCACAGATGTACAATATCTTTGGGGAAAATCTTTACTTTCATCCTTTCAATACAATATTAGTGACTTTTGATATCATTTACTGATTCAAAAACTACGAGAGCCACCGTTGTTACATTATCATGTGCTTATTTTGATCTCAATTATCCTCACCTATTATTCCAAATTATTCTTCATGTATTTACTAAATCAGTGTTTGATTTTTATGGTGTCATGTTGTAAAAACATACATCAGCTGCAAACCACAAACCTTTGTTTGGGATCCTTTTTGAGCAGACCAGCCAGTAGGGCCTTGGCTTCAGGAGCCAAGTTCTTGGGAAAGCGGATCTCCTCCATGAGGATTAGCTCAAAGAGACGCTCGTGGTCCTGGTTGTAAAAGGGCAACCGGCCGCACATCATCTCATACATGACCACACCGAGTCCCCACCAGTCCACCGCTCGTCCGTAGTCATTGTCCTCTAGCACCTGACAGGGTAGGAATGAAAAGAAATGAGAGAGAAATAAAATACAGATACCGATCTTTAAAATAACAATTTGGATGTCAGTGCAGATGTGTTTTGTTGTTGTGATTTAGACCCCGTTCAGACTGCAGGCAGAAGTGGCCCAAATCAGACTTCTCCAGAAGTAGTGTG